ATCATTGTTATATTAGTCCACAGGTGATATCTCACCAAATCAAAAAATAATAATAATCTAAGACTATTAGGATGCAAACGATGTGCATATGTCTGTAGATAATATTTGTGCATAATATGTACAGTATTTACAGTACTTTGCATGTAGCTCTCAGACACAAGTGAGACCATGATCTACAACCCACTTATTGTGGGTGGTGTGTGTGTAAAATCTGCGTAGGCATATTAATAGCAATTGAAGATTTCAGATGTTTTTAGTGGGCACTTAGGATAGTGAAAATTATATTTTTTTTATTTTTTTTATTTTTTTTCCTTAGGTATCATCTCCTTTTCCCTTTTCTGACCTCACTAGAAAAGGGAAAGTAGTTCATCATGCCTTAGCTCACCTACATCTTTCCTTTTTTTATTCACTCTTTGCTTGAGGGTTTTTATTTCTCTTGAATATTTGGCAATGAAATGATGCTGAGTACCTGTTTGTCTGGGGTGTGATAGACATTCCTTGTTGCACACGTTTGTAAAAGAAGAACTTGCAATGATTTTTGCTGGAACACGACTAGATTTTCTGCTGTACACATAATATAAATGAAATATTCTTAATTATTTTAGCTCATGCTAGAAAAGATTCAGGACAAAGGGGAGATTGATGCAGTGTGCCTTACAATGGCCCTACTGATTTCTCTACTGGCCCTTCCTCTGCACATGGTCAATTAGAATTGAAAATCCTGTGCTGATTTCATTCGCTGGAATTTTTAAGCAGGTCAGGAAGAAAGATGTTATTGAAAGGAAAAGTCTCATCTAAATAAGAAAAGAACACGTGGCCATCTGGTCTAACTGTACCATGCCGAAAGTCATTTTGGCTCAGCTGTAGTTTGGTCTTTGCAACAGTTTGCCAAAATATCAAACAGAAATCTGTTTACATTAAACCACTCTGTGCTTTTTATCTATAAAAATGCAATGTGCAGTCCTCTTCCTATCTGCAACGCATGAGCTCGTTTGACCCCGTTACCTTATTGAGACTGACTGCATTTCTGGTAGGCTCTCAAGTTACTTCTCCTGTGTAAAGGTATAAGTGAAACAGCCAATCTTTTGAAAGTTTTGGAAGTAATCCTGAGCACTTTATTCTTATGACTAAAACTTGCACTTCAGCTAGAACAAGGAAAGGCTCAAACAAGCAGATGCTATAGGGGAGAGCATGGGGGGGAGAGGGGTATGGAGGACTTGACTTAGAAATCCGAACTTGAAGTTTCTGTGAGTAGCACCATGGAGTTTGCACACCCAATTGGAGGGCATAGGCTAAGATATGAGCTGTAATAGACATCAAACTTTTAAGGAACAAAGTCATAAATATGCATGAGCTTCCACGATTGCTTTGTTTCGACATCAGCAACTATTTAAAAGTTTAAAGAAGTCAGCATAAAACACAGGTCAGAATTTTCACATTTAAGTAAATAAATTCTTCATGTAAAAAGCTAAATCACATAGCTCTAAATTTCTGGTACTTGGACAACAGCAGCTGGAGGCTAATGTCATATTTGCAAAAACGCTGGACATTTGTTTCTCCTACCTACGTTAGTCAGAGCTCTTGAACAACCATCATGCACAAAAAACAGGAGAACTTACTGGGAGAAGGAAAGTGTGTTGAACTAAACATGGATCCAAGGGCCCTGCGTTCATAAGCTCGAGTTAAATGCTTAACTTTTATGTGGTTAATCCTTTTGCATTGACCAACATTATATAAATTGCCAGTTGAGACATCCCTTCTAATACAAGGTAGCGTATAAATCTCTTCTGAAGTCTTGAAGAATTGATTTGCATAGGATTTCAGTCTTTAGGAACTGGATAAAAAATATGATTTCTTATGTCATTACCATTTAAGAAAATAAAAGTCAGTATTTCAAAATGTAGCTGCAGTCGTTATTTTGAAATACATGTATAAAATTTTAAGTGACAAAATTTTTTTTTCAAGCATAATACACCAGAGTAAGTAGAAAGAAAATTAGCATATTGTTACTACTGAAGTCATGTGTATAGACGTGTAATTTATACGTAGGTACTTAAACAACCATTGTGTTGAATTAGCTGATATTTCATACAAGGTATGTAAAATGTTCATTCAAAGAAGTGTTTAATCCATTGTTTTTAAAAAACACAGTAATTCCAATGTGACTGTAGTTATCAATTCATTCTCTTTATTTCTCTGAAATCTCCCTTTGAGAACCTTTACCTTGCCTGTGGATAGTGTTATCACTAGATGTAACCTTTTGTTTCATGTCTCTGCTGCTGAGGAAGTTTTTTTAAAGGCTAAATATATGGGCTATCAAAGCTGGGTTCCCTTTTTATTTACACCTATTAGCGATAATAAAGAAAATAGCTTAAAAAAAAAAAAAAAGTCCTATCTTTCTATTAAGATATATGTTAGTCCGACTAAAATTCAGTTTAAGCCTTTTCAGGGAGTAAATTAAAAGCAGTACACTTTGTATGCCTACATAGAGACGTATTTTCAATTAAGTCTTGTTCACACAAAGTCCATATTGAAGAGCAAAAAATAACCACCATTTGCACCGTACCCTACTTTGCACCCAAAGACGATGCAATTCCAAAGAACTTTTAGAAACCAGGTCCACACAGCATATATTGAAAAATTAAACAGCACAAACTGCTTTGAATCTGCTTTTTTCCTGGGTGTCTCTAACCCCACCCATCGCCACACCAAACAGAGAGCAACTCTTCTGGGGAGCGGGGCGCTCCCAAGGCCGGCTCGGCGGCGTGGTGGCACTGGGCCTGGAGGCCTTGCTCTGGGCTGTGGCGGGGGCCAGGCCGCGGCTGTGGGGCCAGCTGGCCCAAAGCGGCCCCCGGCCACGCTCCCCTCCTTCCGTTTGCAGACGGACAGCCTACCCACAAAGCGTTTGGCTGCTGCTGGGTTTTAAACTGCCACGAAATTGTCTAGGAGATCTCGCTAATCTCTCTAAAACCAAGTGTTTAAGTATTTCAGCATGACCGCCTTCCAGACGTAGGGCTCCATGCTATTTGCGTTTATCCAGTGCATTGTATACATATAGAAAACCTTTACGTAATATACAAGAGCTTCTCAGCAACTGTGTAAGTGATGCAAGAACTTAGCATAAAATACTGCACTGACGGCAAAGCTGGAGTAGAAAGCACTGTAAAATCAGAAATAGTGGATGCCCATAGTTAGGCTGTGTGGAAAGCGCGCGCACATAAGCACGTGCTTTGCACAATAGCGCATGTACGTATTTACAAAGTTTCTTCTTTCCAATTATTTGCGAGTCGCAGTGAAGTCGAAGCCGAGTGGGGCCAACGAAAGGAGAAAAGGATTGTGTTTGTCTTTAATCTTCCTGCAGCCGGGTTCAGACTTCTGTCTGATGTGCACATAGAGCAGCGGGCTTGCCGTGCATTGCGTGCAGGCTCCTTGATTGTGGAGGGGAAAAAAACCTGGCTGGAATCCAGCGAGGCGAGCGCAGCTCTGTTGATCATTATGTCTAGCCTTCAGGTGTCTCAGCGCGCGGTGGGCGGCGGTTGGGGGAGGGGGAGATAACAGGAGGGCAGACAAAGAATAAAATGGGGTATTTAAAAATAAAAATAAAAATCAGAGGTAAAAAAAAAATGCCTCAGATCCTCTTTTTAAAGAAAAAAAAAAAAAACAACGTTTCTTTTAACGTGCCTTTCCCCGCAGTGGGAGCAAGCAAACATCTGTCCAGGAAGATTTATTTAAGCCATAATTAGTAGCGTCTGGAGTCTTTCAACAATTTCTCCTTATTGCACTTAATTTTTTTTTTTTAAAGAAGTCTGCTCATCTTTCACTTAGAAACTGTTTTCACTTCATGCTTTATTAGAGATCCAGCCCAGCCAGGACCGAGTCAGATTTCTATTGTCTTCGCTTCTTCCCCTCTGAATGTAGTTTTCAGAATCTAACTTTTGCTGGGGGGAGAGGGGGGGCAGCCAGGGGGAAAGACCTTATTAAAGGTCTTACAAACGTTTGCAAAGAAATGAACAAAAATACAAATCGGTGCTTCTTGTTAGACAGTTATCCATTTGGCTTCAATTTCTTTCCCGGAGAAGGAAAAAAGCTCTGCTTTGTCTGTTGCTTCTGTTTGAGAACTCTCATAAATCTTGCCCAGAAATCAACTTGGGCTTAAGGAGATCTGGCCAGCAAAGCCCTGGGAAGCATTTGCAATGCCTCTTGCTTAGAAATATTCTCTTCTTTCTGCCCCCTTCGTCCCCAGTGCCCTCTCCACCCCGACCTTCTGACGTTGTGCCGTGGCGAGCCCCACACCCTTCCCCACCCCACCGGGCAGGCGAGCGAATGCAAGTCGCAGTCGAGAGGCAGTTAAAGTTGCTTATCAAAAAGCCTCTCCTCGGGCTGAGCGAGTCCAGATCTTGCGCCGGTGGTGTTTTCTCAGTACAGCCATAACCCTCTCCTCGCGCTCCCCCGGCCGCTCGCTCTCCCCCTCCCCCCGTGGAAGGGGTGGGATGGGAACCTTGCTCGACTTCATTGTTCCAAATGTTAGAGCTATTTGCCCCAAAGTGTCTTCGCTGTCTTTCATAGCTAATTATAATAACTGTCAGATGAATGCAAAGTCTGGGCTGCCCTTGCTGGCAGAGTTAAAGTTTGCCTTTATTTTTTCCCCTTGGGGACAGATCAGGCCTGATTAGACACACGGTACAAATAAAAGTGAACAACGTACATGTGTAGGGCTTTTTGTCTTTGTTTTTCTTTATGAACAAAGCAGCATGCTGGCTATGTCAGGAAGCAGTGTGGCATGCAGCGTGCATGCAGGCACTGCCCTGGAGGAGAACTCTTTTTTTTTTTTTTTTTTTTTTTAAAGCATGCAAGAAATATTTCTGAATTTGAATAGCACTTTTGATACTTGTTCATCTCATACAAAAAAGTAACCCTCAATTTGGTGCACATAGCATTTTGACGATTTTAAGCGATTTGCTTTTCAGACTGAAAATAAAAATAAATAGACCTGTACTCACAGTTTTGTTGTGCTGCGCAGGTCGCTGTCTCCTTCCGCAGAGACCAGGAGGGTAGGAGGATGTCACGGGTGCAGAATTCCAATTTAATTCGGGAGAAATGTACAAATGCACTTCTTGAAGTCGCCTGGAAGTCAGCCACTTGTGCTCAGACATCCCATTGCTGCTCTGCACGCTATACTATCTGCAGTTCTGAATTGAACTAAATACTGCCCATGTGAAAGACAGGGGAAACACAGTCATGTGGGACACACAAATCCACTCTATTGGCTCTGAAGGCACAACTTCAGCATTCTTGCATTTCCACCATTGGTTAACAGTTCAAGCTGAAAGAGTCTAGGTCCTCCTAGTGAGTCCGTTTTCCCTTTATGTGTGGAAGAATGACTGTAGGATTTTACAGTGACAGGATTAGTTAAGAAAGGGACTGAAGTCATCCCTTTGACTGAAGCTGGTGGGTGGGGATTGGAAGCTGTGCTTTTCTCAAGTCGACGTTTTTCCTTTTTCTGCCTGCGTTCGGTGTGTCAGGAAATGCTTGCAGTTAACTTGGGAAGCACAGAGAAACTGAAGTGACTTTCTTCAGGTTCAGGCACAGGGACTTCACTTTAGAGTGAGACAGACTGTGCAATGATTTTATGGGAATAACTCTGTTTACTTTGGCTGGCCACAGAGTAGTTATTTTCTATTTTCTAGATTTTTAAGCCTAGAAAGAGCTATATTAGGATCATCTAACTTGAGCTTTTGCATCACACAAGCCAGACAAATAAATCCAGCAGTTCCAAAATGTAGATTAATAATTTGAGTGGCAATTGAAAATAATTTTTACAAAGTAATTAAATCTCTTGGGAATATTATAATGGAGTCATCATATTTTGTAAGGAGCAACAAATTTGATAAACATCTGTAGTCAATGATATTTGGTCATTTTTAGAATAACTGAAGTATTAATATTAAATAGGAGGGAGAAAGATTGACTATTCCCTATTTTGGTGTTCTGTCTTTGCCTGATTTAGTTATGCCGGCGTGAGCAGTAATTTGAAACGGTACTCAGTCATGTGTGACATACTTCTCCAATTAACCCTTATTAAAAAGACCTTTCTGAAATCCTACATGCATATTCTCCTAGAGCCACAGAAAGCAGAGGTATGACAGATTTGTCGGGAGTTGTGCCCATCTTTTCTGGGCAAGTTTGTTTCCAGGGTTTTGACTGGTATCATTCTAAATACCCTGAATGCGTGGCCCCTGTTGCTGGACTGTTGAATTTAGGGCCCTAATTTAGCTGCTGAAGGGCTTAACTAGTCTTGGAAATTTACCAGAATAATTCTTCTGCAATAGTTAATTCGTTATACGCCTCGGGTGTATGCAAGGCCAAGCACTGACAAGCCATGTTGCGAGTGCTTGTGCTACGTACAAGCTAGTATTCAGCAGCTTATGCCTACCTCTGGGTGTCGGGACATCTTTTTTTTCTCTACCAGTCAGGCTTGTTCAGACCACCTTAACACAGTGCTTCTTCCTCTTTGGAGTTCACCCTCTTAAGCTATTTATAGACTTTTATCATCACCTCATTGACCACCCTTGTCATCACTTAGCTGAACGCCGTCTTCCAGGTGTAGCTGCAAAGGAACTGCACAGGATATGGGAATGTTCCTCTGCAGCCTGTGACCTGGTATCACTGCAGCAAATCGATACGTGCTTGCTCGATACGTGAGCAGGAAAATATTTATATTTAAAAAAAATGTCTACTTACACACCTGACAAGCAGGACTTCAGAGGAGATGAATACGCTCCATGTTCTACTCTCACATAAAAGAAGGTCTTTTGCCAGGCCTTCTTTGCTTGTAAGTGCTGAGAAGATGCAGAATATTTATTTTCCTTTAGCAGGCTCACTTTAAAAAATGGTGCGTAATAACGTATAAAAGATGTGGATTAATTTTTGTTGTTGTTTTTGGTTTTTTAATCTTCATGAAGGTAATTGTCTGGTTTGGATAAAATAAGGCTATAGCAGTAGCATCAAAACTTTCTCTCCTCCCTCCAAAAATGTTTTTGACTCCACTGGGCTTTCCACATCTGGAGTCCAGAACAGTGAGGAGAGAGAACTGAAAACCCTGGGAGACATTTTCTTTTTTTCGCAGTGCTGGTGGTCTTCGTAATTTTGGTTACTTTTTTTTTTTTTTTTCTGTTGTCGTTTAATTCAATTAAAGTGGGAAGAAATACTAATAAAAGAAACCCTACTCCAGAGAGCAGTAAAAACTCTTTAGTTTTGAGACTAGTACATAGTCTTGTGTTAAACACATCTTTTTCATGAATGTCAGTTTCTGATTTTAAATGTTGAAAAGTTATTTAAAGAGAGCAAATAAACATCTGAATTTGTTTAGTGTTGTTTAGCTCTTTCCTCTGACAAATCATGGGTGTATTTTGGAGAAACGTTGGTAACCTGGAACAATGATTGTCTACCTGCAATTCTCAAGCCATGATTCAAAGGCTTAGGTGATACAAGCAGATGTTTTTGTGACTTGTAGTATAGTATTTTGGAGAACAAATACTTAGCATTTTTTTTCCACATCATCTCAATTGAAAAGAAATCAAAATGAAGACCAAGTCTACATCAGTTTCTTTCTGCTCAATTAGGAAGCTGATGCTTCCTCTATGATTGGTTACTAGAAAAGGCTTCATAACTATAGGGGCCAAGGGATGAGAGCATCATAAAACTATCACAGCATGGGAAATAACATTACTTCACAAATTCTGTTGTGATGATGCTTATCTGAGACAAGAAGTTGCTGTATGAACAGGGCTGTCAGTCAGGAGACCATAATGTTACTGCTATGTGGTCCTCTGCGATTCCATCCATTGACAGAAAGGATTTGATACTTAATTAAACCAGTGTTAAAATCTAGTTGAATCAGTAAGATACAAGCATAGGCTTAACTCCTGCCTAACAGAGGTCCTGTTCCTCAGAGTTTTCACTGTCCCCTGACGGGGAACTTTAGGAAATAAAAGAGAAGACTGAAGTTTGAAATGGTTGTTAGTAAAAGTGCTTTTTTTTTAATTCACTGGAATTATTAGAGAGCGTATAGTGTGAGATGAAAAAATAGGATGTCCTTGATCCTCTCATATGGGGTACATTTCAAAAGAACTTTACCAAAACAGCTAGTGATTTTTATTGTGTAAATCCAAGCACAATGACTCCTGGGGGGAGGAAACCCCTTGGCTTCTTTATTATGACGTGTGCCATATTTAGAAAGGCAAAACATCAGATAAATTTCTCTAAAAAATACTTTGAATAAAGGCACTTAGGAAGTTTGCTGGTTGATGCGGATACTTCTGAAAATGTTAGCTGTTCCCTTAGAAAATCAAATGCAATACTATTGTATGTATGATGTAGATTTCACTTTTAAGCCCTTTTTTTTTTTTTTCTTTTCTCTCCCCTCTTGTGGAAAATAACTGAACTTTATTGTATAGACTGTGTATTTGCTTGCAACTTTGCCAGAGAATACTTACTGTTCTATACACCTTTGCTTTTTATAGTTCAGCAGTAGGTGGTATCTGCTAAAGTTTAAATCTTGTATTAGTCACTGCTGGTAAAATCCCTCACTGTGATGGTAATGCATAAGGAAAAAAAAAAAGAAAAAAAAAATCAAACAGGAGATATCAGAGAAGCTGGAATAAGGCAGAGAAGCAAAGTTCCAGGATGTCTCTGGGGGCAGGCAGTGGACAGAAGGCACCCACAGGCCATTTCATAAGGAGGAATTACCAGGGCCTGGAAACATGCATATTGCTTGCAGTGTGTATGTATATTCCAGAAATGGTTTTAAGTCCTAGCTAATGGTTTTTAACCCAACCTTAAGCTAACATGCTGAGATTTTTGAGTGCATCTGATACAGGAGGGCTCTGAAGGAATGTTTGTTCTCATCTGCACCAAAAGGGGTGAAACTTGCATAAATGCTGTCTGAGCAAGTCATCTGTGCTGTATATAAACCAGCTGGTCATGCTGCGGTATCTACCATTCCCATAAAGTAAAAGCAACAGCAAAGCTGTTAGTATCATAACGAATTTTGATTTTTTTCCCGTTTTTGTTTGTTTGTTTCACCTCCAAAATGCATCCTTCATCATTCCTCTCTCTCCCCTAGCTATTTATGTAGATAAAGAGAATAAATCCAACTGAGATGCTGGGAAGATTTTCAGCAGACGGAGTGGGATCTTGTATCCTACTACTAGTGAAAGTCAGAGGAACTTACTCCTGTTTCCTTTGTAGGCTTCCTTCTATTTAGGGTCAGGCCTTGGTGAATAAATGAGATAATCTAGCTACAGTTTAACCATTACAAAAACTTCCACAGATTCAGTATGTTCTTGACCTATGCATACTGAAATTAATGTATACTTCAAGCTATTAGATGTTTCATATTTACAAACCTGATTTTGGTTACAGGACTCTTGGTGAGGAATTTAGATCTCTTCATCACAGTCAGATGAAGTGATAACATCAGGAAAAATCCAGGATTTTTAGTTAATCTTTTCTAAATTTTTTGCCAGATTTATACAGTGACAATTAAATTAATCTGATAACTGTATTTGTAGGGGGAAATTTCTAGATGAAACAACCTTCTGTAAACATGTGTTGGTAATTGCAATATTGTTCAGATGAAATGAAGTGATAAAAATATTTGAAAATTGGGCTATATTTAAGCTGTCACAGAATTATGATGTCCAAAAAGATTTGTTTGACAAAGCTAGAACCAACAATGCTTTTAAGCTGACGTACCTGAAGTTTAAAATCTATAAAATATGTGGTGACAATTAAGGCACCCTTAAACTGATAGACATTTGAACATTTTTTAGATCACATTTCCAGATTCTAGAAAGCCTGGTGATTTCCATAAAATGATGCATTATTTTTTTCCAGGGAGCTTTCCTGAATTTTTGGTGAATCCTCCAGTTTTAGTCCTTTGTCTTTAGACTGTTCTTTCCACAAGTCCTTTCAGTACAATCATATTCTCTTCTCCATAATACCTGAGCATGAAGCTCAGCTGGCCCAGTTTTCACAGAAGAGTGAAGGACTTTGAAGGGGGCAGTCTGACTTGTTGACAATAAGGGATCTTTTCTCAGACTAATGGGGTAATGTAGCTCTTTCTGGTTTGAAGTAAGTTCTTTGATCCCCACATACCCCATAATTATATATAAACGTATAAACTTTATAAATTATGTATCAAACTGCCACTTTATTATAGAGGTCTGCACCTGGCACTTCATATTCTCAGTTCCTTCTGTTGTAAGATGTTCTACTGGCTTCAAAATCTGAAATGTATCAACATTTTGTGCCAGTATTTAGTGAAGAATGATGCTACTTACCAGCTCACATTTAAAACATTGAAGTCTTTTGATGTAAAAGTTATATGTGGTCTAATTTTGTAATTTTTTATTTAAT